CCACTAGAGGTGACATCGTCGACTGCTGCTGTTTGGGCGGCGGCTGCTGCTCTCTCGGCGGGGCTTCCGACAGGATCCCCGCCGGGATGCCCGTCCTCGGACGCCGTCGGCACCTGCACTTTCGCCGGCCACTTCGCCCCGATAGCCTGCACCACCCTGCACCGCGTCAGCTCCTTCTTGATCGCGTCGATCTTGGCAAGCAGCTCGGCGGGGGCCTAGAGCTCAAGTGGCGGCGGCTGCGCGAGTAGTGGCGGCTGCGAAAATGGCCGCGCCGACCGCGAGCGCGCCAGGCGCAGCCGGGCACGCGCCTGCTCCTCCGCCAGCCGCAGCGCCGCCACCGCGATCTGTCGACGGAGTGGTTGGGTCTGCTCCCTCGCGATAGTCATCGACTCCACCTCGACTGTCATCCGCATCGTCTTCCCCGGCGTCCTGGACCTCTGCACCCTGCCTGCCGGTGGTGTCCTGGACGTCAGCACAGCCATATGCTTCCTGGGCGTCAGCACCGGTCTCGCCCTGGGAGACCAGGTCGAGCTCGCACGCTCCGCCATGTTCCCATCGTGGTTCGTCAGCTGCGGAGGTGGAGAATGTTCCACGCTCGGGCGCACACCGCTCCGCTCGGGCGGAGCGTACGGCAACGGCGGTGAAGATCCGGGCGGCGCCAGCCCGAGCGCGGTCAGCGCTCTGCTCTCGGCGTCTGCCACCACGGCCGCGAGCAGACCGTCGCCCCATGCTGCCATGCCGCGCCGATCCGAGTTCCCCGTGCACACGGTGCCCTCGCGCACTGGCCAAGCACTCCACCCTGGCGCGCTGGGATGCGGAGCGTGCGTGGGTGCCACAATCGAAAAGGTTCGAGCCCCAAGCTCCTGGACCTGACCAAGAGTGAAACGCTCTTAGCTCTTCAAGAGTTTGAGCCATCTTGAGCCAATCTGCCGAGTGAAAGCCGGACCCCAACAAATCATCAGCAAATCTGTTCTGCCACCGCGGCGAGGTGAACTTCTATCAACACCCGAGGAGGGGGGGATAAACATCGAGCTGGAATCGGCGATACATCGCGCATATAGATCGGCGATGTACCTCCGATACCGAACCGCACGGGCGATCAATGGGCGATTAGAGGTCGATGCGTTGCCCCCTGAGCCTCTCCCCCCGTCACGTTGCCCCTCGGCTTTCGGGCCCTCGGCTCCCTGGCGGCTGTTGGGGGCGATCTAGGCACCCCCAGAGCGCTCTCGACGAGGCGCAGCCGCTGAAGAGCACCCCGAGGCTGGAAAACTGCCGAGAGCCGACGAAAACGTCCGAAAACCTGGACCCCCCTCCGCCGCCCCTCAGGGGCCGACCAGGAGGGCCGCACTGGGGCATCTGCGTGCCGCTCCTCTCCCTCTCCCCCGTCCCCCAACCCCGTCGGGGCCGACCAGCAGGGCCGCACTGGGGTATCTGTGAGGCGAGAGCATGCTCCCCGGCCGCCCCGAAAAAAACAGGGCCGGGGGGGGGGGGGGGCCCGAGGGCACACTGGCGCGGGCGGACGAGCGGCGGCCTGCCTCCCGCGCGGCGAATCCGCGCCGCCGGCGGGACGGCGCTCTAGAATGTCCGCCCGCGCTCAGCCAAGCCGGGACTTCGGCGCCCTCGAAAAACTCGGAATTGTCCAATGACGCTAGAGTTAGGTCGGGCATGTCCCCCTACAGGCAGGCGGTTTTGGGACGACAGCTATCCCAAACAAAAATTCCAAAAAAATGCTCAGAAATGGTCCAACAATCGCCCCCATATTATTTTGTGACCATGTTTGAATATTCCCCCTGTAGAGGGACAGGCCCGACTTAATACTAGAAGACCACTTGCGCCGGAGCCAGGGCCACCGGGTCTGGGCAGCCAGACGGGTCATCACATGGGGCGCACAAGGACATGGTATAGTACTGCATGTCCTCCTTGGGGGCGTGCGTCCGACCCGAACATACAGCACTCGCCGGCCCAACGGGCCAGAAACGTGTTAAAATCTCCGGTAACTGGTATGCAGCATTTCTAGTTCGCGCGCGCGGGGCGGCCCCTGGGGGTCCGCGGCCGAAAAGTACCCTGGGCAGGTCCCCGGCAAGTTCCCATCAGAGATGGTTCTTCTCCTGGGCGCCGCCCTCAGGGCCTTCCAAGAGCCCAAAGAGCGACCGGAGGTCCCCAAGAGGCCCTCTAGATGGTCCTACAGGCCTCCGGGACACGACAAGATCGCTCGCTGACGCCCAAGATGGCCCCCAGACGGCCCAAAAGGCCCCACAGAAGCCCTAAGAGCGCTCCGAGAGGACCCCAAAGAGGGCCAAAAGAAGCAAAAATCATTGATTGTCTTCGTGTTTTTGCGTGTTTCGCATCTTCACGGTTTAGGGCTTCCGACGCTCCAAGATGGCCCCAGAGGGCCCCAAGACGGTCCAAGAGGGCCTGAAAACGGCCCCAGAGGCGCCCAAGATCGCCCAAGACGGCCCCAAGACGGCCCCAAGAGGGGGGGCCCAAAAGGGGAACACGA